AAAAGAAAAAGGAAGAGACTAAAAAGTAAGTTGTGCACCTATAAAACTTATAGCAAGTTAGTTATTCTTTCAGTGTTTAGCACTTCATGCTACAGCTAAGTTGCAGCCAAGCTGCTGTCTTTAGTCTCTTAATTGCTAAGAACAGTGGCCTTCTCACTTCATGGTGACAATATTTATTAATGAAACTCTGGGAATGGTTATTTTGCTTTGGTAATCTTCAGAAACAATAAATTACTGTAATCTGAAGAAAAGCTTTTGGCTCAACAAGGAGCAACTTTTCCCATGAGAGAACTCTGATAATCACTGCTGTAATCACATGATGTTCACTTGGAAAAATGTGTTCTTCATGTGTGCAGGAGGCTTGAGTCAAGTTTCACTTGTAGTATGGCTGCTTTGAAACAGTTCTGACAGTCTAGAATAGGTCTGTATCAAGTATATTGAAATGTACTTTGTTTTACAGTTTTGGTTTTGTTGTAATAAGTAGCTGTACCTCAATGCATGTGCTTTAGAAGCAAGAGAGAAGCTTTCAAAACTGCCTTTAGAGAAATCTCAATGCATATTTTGTCCTCTTGGTGGTGTGCCTTTAAAGACTAAAATCTAGCTGAGATCACTAATTATGTATTTAGCTGGAACGTTGCTGTCACACCCAAGCATTGCTTCTGTAACATTCTCTGCTTCTGTAACATTCTACCTTTTGCAGAAGACAGTGGTCTCTGGATGATTTTGAAATTGGTCGTCCTCTGGGGAAAGGAAAATTTGGAAATGTGTACCTGGCACGTGAAAAGCAGAGTAAATTTATTCTTGCACTGAAGGTGCTGTTTAAAGCACAGCTTGAGGATGCTGGTGTGGAACATCAACTACGAAGAGAAGTTGAAATACAGTCTCATCTCAGGTAATGTGAGCAGTTAACCTTTGCTTAGTTTGTGCTCAATTTAAAAAACAAAGTAATCTTTCCTGAAGAAAAGCAATTCTGTAGTATGTGACAACTTGAAACTGCTTCTTGTCATTCTGCCCCACCACCCCATGGGCCAAAAGAACCCAAACAGAAGTCAAGCACCTGGCCAGTTCTTACAAGTGGATGACTGCAATTTCTCAGTCTAGGCTTGTCCCTGGTATTCTGTTTCACAGAAAATAATTGGAGTATTTAAGCTTAAGTTCAGAGAACTGTAGATATTTGCGTGTTGAATGGTGATCTGTTCTGTGTGTAGAAAGCTATCTATGAGAAAATACAAATGAGCTGAATTCTTGGCTAGGTTTTTGCTACTAGCAAGTCTGATACTTCTATGATAAATACCCTTTGTCTGCTCTGAAGCTCTCATAGAAATGGACATGGCAGTTGGAACTGCGCTGTCTTGTGTAGCATTAATGTTAAATTATAGGCCCTATATGTATAATTAGTTGTACGCATACCTTGTTCAGGAAGGCATTTCAATTTTCTTGCAGGCATCCCAACATACTCAGGCTGTACGGCTACTTCCATGACGTTACAAGAGTCTACCTTATTCTAGAGTATGCACCTCGTGGAGAAGTCTTCAAGGAACTACAGAAGCTTACCAAATTCGATGAACAAAGAACTGCAACTGTAGGTTGTTCTGACTGCTTGCTGCTGTGTAGCATACCTGAAGTATAAAGCTAGCTCTTCAAGAAAAAGTCATTTTCAGTTGCATGAAACCAACTCCTTAGATGCTAGTTTGCTTGTGCACTTGTAACCTATTTAGGAATATGCTGGGAGGACAAACTACTGCAGTGTTAACGGATAATGTTCAGCATTGCCCAGCACTGCAATTTGTGTGGTCACTTCAAGCAACACCTGTTGCTTGAGAGTGTAAGGAACAATTTTTCTACTCCAAACTGCTAATTATGCCTAGGGAATTGTGCTAGTAAAGCTTGAGCGTCAGTGTCTTCATACCTGATAGTTTTGTTTTCTTTCTAATTGCAGTACATTACAGAACTAGCAGATGCCCTGTCATACTGTCATTCAAAGAGTGTGATTCACCGGGACATCAAGCCGGAAAACCTGCTGCTTGGCTCAAATGGAGAATTAAAAATTGCAGACTTTGGGTGGTCCGTGCATGCTCCATCCTCTAGGTGAGAGTGCAGTATATACCTTATACAGAAATTATTCTGTAATGAAAACTTTAGCTTTCTTGCCAAACTCACAGTTGTGAGTAATGTGAGTAATGGAGGTAAATGTCCACTTGCTGAAATACTGGCAGGGAGCATTCAATGATTGGACCACTGCTGTCAAGGTCTTAATAGTTGACTGATGTAGCGTAGAGAGAGTGTCCTGCTTCTCTGTGTATTTAAAAACTTGCTGAACCTGAAACAAGAGCGTTAGCACACTGTTTTAGGGTTATGGTGGTCCCTGAGATGAAGATCAGAACTTCTGTCCAAATAGCTCACACTAGCACTATAATTGGAATATTTCCTTAGTCTGATTTGTACCTGACAAAGAAAGTCCCACTGACTTGTAAGCCAGTGGGAGAGAGGAAAAGGAACAATAAGACTGCCTGTAGTGACAAGAATACTTTAAAGCAAAGCTAGAAAAGTGACTGATGAAATTCCAGTGATACTGAGTTTATCTGGGGCAGATTACACTGAGATACAGATAAGAGCACTTGAATCCAGATACTAATACTAGCAGTTAAAACAGATCTTAGCTGCCATAAAGGGTAAATGATACACTGTACTCTGTGCTTTTCTTCAGGAGATCAACTCTCTGTGGGACACTTGACTACTTGCCTCCTGAAATGATTGAGGGAAGAACACATGATGAGAAGGTGGATATTTGGAGCTTGGGGGTTCTGTGCTATGAATTTCTTGTAGGAAAGCCACCTTTTGAAGCAGAAACATATCAAGAAACCTACAGAGCTATTTCCAGGGTATGTGCTGTAACTTCAACTAGGTGAATTTTGGTTTCACTTCTTGTCTTGAAGGTTAATATTCCTCTTGAGGGAAGGAAAGACATAATGAGATGTACGCAAAACTACATCCCTAAAGCTATCCTGAAGTCACTCCAGTTGAATTACAATGAAGAGTAGGATGGCTTTCCTGGCTGCTTGGTTCTCTCCTGTTTCTACCTGCATCTGAACACCTACCTTTTCATATAGCAGCTATTCTTCTTCACTATCCTTCACTACTTTCATGTTTCTGGTATATAAAATATTAATCATTCAAGGCATTAGGAAAAACATAAATTATGTTTCTAGATTACAAGTGTTCTGTAAACTTGAGAGGTTCCATCAAAGTGGTTTTGTGTTGGGAGCACAGAGAAAAGCACACTGGCTGAATTTTGGCAAGCAGTGAGAACCTTCAGTTTTATTCAGGATTGTGATGAAATTACTCACTAGGTACAAGGTACACAGCCCACAGAGCTGACAGTTTTCTTTGCTCTCTGTACCTTGGGGCAGAACCCTATTGCTCTCCAGTTTTGATTAGTGCCAAAGAATATTGCATCATCTTTTATCTTGTTTTCTTAGGTGGAATTCAAGTATCCATTATTTGTAACAGAAGGTGCAAGGGATTTAATTTCAAAGCTTCTGAAACATAACCCATTCCATCGGCTGCCCTTGAAGGATGTTCTTGTTCATCCCTGGATTACAGCAAATTCTACAAAGCTGCCCAACGATAGAAAGTGATGTTGCTGCCCCATCCAGAATACAGTCTTAACAAGGGTAATCTCATTGGACTAACAAGGAGATTTGTACTGTGACTACTGTAACACAATAAGGAGGAGCAGGTCTTGGAATCCAGTGGCAATTAAGAACACAAAGCCTTTGGGTTGGTTATCATCTTGAACTGATCTTGAATTGCAACGTAAATCTATTTGACTTCTAGCTGGGTGTTGTGGAATACTTAACGTACTTGAAAAATAACTACATGTGGGCCAGCTCTATTGATGTAAGTATTCAAGGTCTGTTCAAGGCCTTTATGATATGGTCTGTCATAATTATAGCTCATTGTTCCAATAACAAGAGACAGTGGTGGTTCTATCTTACTGAACAGTGCAATATCCCAGAGATACCTGCCTATGAACTCACTGGGCTGCTAAAGGGTATCATACCTGTGGTGTAATCTGAAACTGAGGTGAATGCATTTGTGTCCTAAAAATGAATGATGTGTGTGCATTTTTGTTTCTAGTTTTTGTCTTAAATGTGAGCACTCAAGTTTCTAAATAAAGATTGCTTATATATTGTAGAGCATGGGAAGGTTCCTTACAATACATGATATTATATGCTGGTCACCTCCAACCACCTGTCATTACTGTCAGACTACTAGAGTACATCTTGACTGCTCATCTATGGTCACAGACTAAGCTCACTAGCTCTGTCCAAAAATAAGTTGATATAAAATAAGTTTTCCTCTAAGTGCTGGTGTTGTGTAAGTACATATAGCTATTACTCTTCAGCTAAGTACCAAAAATACCTTACAAGAGTTCCACAGTCACTTAAAAACTAAATCTGCTTCTTCCCTTGCAGTTAAAGTGTAATAGTCATAAGCAAGGTTTGAAAGTACTTCAAGAAAGACCTGGAAAGTCATTATCAAGCAGGAGATGGATATACATCTGTATATATACATGTCTATACATATATACACACACATCAGAAACAAGGAAAAAAAACAAAGCATGCTTACCAGTTTACATTTCCAATTCTCTGGTGTTTATACCCTAGGCTCTAAATTTTTTCCCCCTATTTACAAAATATCAGAATCAATAGATTAGAGCCTAGGCTCCATAGTTACAAACATAGACATAGTTGGCAAAGTATTAAAATGCTTCGTTCCAGCTTCATTGTTTTAATCACAAGGTTTTCTGCGTTTTTGAAAAGAAGGATAGTGGTGTTTGGTTTTTTTAATTAATTACAAATAATTAGAAACATGGTAAAACTTGCTTGTAATTTGTCATTAAGTGCTTTCTCATTCCTCCAATTAGACAAGGCAATCAGAGAAACAAAACATGTAAAGCAATTATTTTCCAGTAAAACACTGCAAGCAAATGCTACGAGAAAGCAATTTATTTTCTTCATTATCAGGAGCCATGGAAGGTCTCTTATTATCTTACAAACTATTTTAAAAAGATCTTTTACAAGCAAGGATTCTAGGATTCAAAATATATTCTCAAATCACTGTAAAATATTTAGCAAAAACTCATCTAAAAGTGCCAGTAGTTCATACAGCCATCTTTATCTTACAGTTACAATTTAAAATGAAGGGATTTTCTATTACCACAACAAAATCTATACTGCTTGTACCTCTTAATAACTTCAGGTACATTTGCTTTAAATGAGTCTTGGTTTATAGAAACACTCTAGGAACAGGAAAGGAAAAGTTTGACTCCTTTTATCAACTTCACGACAAGCCCTACTTGCTAGAAATCACTGATCAAACAAAATAAGGCTGTCATTATTTGATTATAATGGAATCCTTTTTGTTACCCTTGGATAACAGAACAATGACCTGAACAGCCAGAGAACGTGTAGAAAAGAACGTTTCTTGGAAAATGAAGCAAGAAGAGCCCAAGTAAGACTTCAATTGTCAAAGAGGCAGACAGCATAAATTATCTGTATCCAGCCCCAGACTGCAGAAGATCAGAAAACAATAGAAGTGCAGGCTGCATGTTGTTACTGCACAGTATCCCTTCCTTTGCTGTGTAGACACTGGAGGTTTTTAGCTCTTGGATAGCCAGCAATAAGCTTCCATCCCAGTACCAAATATAATATTCGTGCTGATTAACTGAGGATGTAATTTAACATTGTCTGAGCAGTGTTAACAACTTGCTCAGGACAAAGACATGCCTCGTTTTTCCCTCTTCACTTGAGCAGTATTTATTTTCAGAAAGACAACTCAGCAAAACATAAAATAAAAAAATACATTGATGGTCACTGTAGTTTTCTGCCAGTTTAGTTCAGATTCCTGTATATTCATAGATCTGTGTCAAAGCCACCATGGCATAAGTGATAAGCACAAACACAGAGGCAGACAATGTCACAAGAACTGACAAGGAAGGGAGAACAGGTCCAAAAGGCTCAGATGTGGCTTCAGTCATCTCACAGAAGCACAGTCCTAAGTCTGAAACCCAGGTTTAGCACAGAATGTTAAGCTGAATACCTAGATTTGAAATCCGCTTTTTAGGTTAACTGAGAAGTGGTTATATGCAAATACAATTTAATAGGAATACTGCCCAAATAAGGAAGTGAATTACACCTTGAGTTGGTATGCTCAACAGTCTACCAGATGAGCACATGTATTGCTTTGAGAAGTTCTAAACTGTAACGTCTGGACTTCAGGTGAGGATCAGAGATTCATCCACAGGAGCCCCCATGTTAACAGCTAACTTAAAATACAAAAACAAAGCCCCAAAACAGACCAACAGGATGTCCCCAGTAACAAAGCTAGGTATCAACACCACAGTTACTTTGCCTCTCACTTTATCTTTGGAACACATTCACTCACACAGGAGGTAATTCTGGTTATAATGATTTCACTAGACTCAGTATGAGTCTGTAGCATTTAAAACTGAAAGGAAAAGAAAAAAGACCTTAGAAAGGTCAGAAAACATAGTTACAAACAACAAAATCTTGGAAGCACCACAAAGGAGCCATAATTTCAGAGAGGTGCATTGCCTCTTCCAGCTAAAACAATTATAACTGCAATAATTAAGCATACAGGTACTCTCATTAAAGTTAGCTTGGCATGTGTGTTGGATTGCAGGAGTGGGATCATAAAAATGCCCTCTGCAACAAAAGAAACACTCATGTAGCACCTTAGATCCCAGTACACCTACTTACCAACAGATCTGTTTACATGGTCCATGGAAGAAATAGCACTCCACTACTGGGAAAGGAATCTTACTCTATTTCCCAACTGCGCAGTAATAAACTGCAACTGCATTTTGGCATGAGAACCATTAATGATCCAAAAATCCAGAAAATAAAGACCCAGAATTGTACTTCTGGTTTTTGTGAGAGACGGCACATTGTCAAGCATTTATATGAGCACTTGAAGTGGAAACCAGACTCTGTTTCAAGAGCTTTCTATAAAGGGAAAGATGAGGACAGCACTTTTTACCGCCACATCTACCTGAAAGAATCAGCCAGAGGAATGCAAGAGAAGATCAGCATTAACATGAATTCAAAGGAATATCTGAAGAGCGATATGAATATTAAACATTTAACAAATAATAATAAGAAACAATAAGAAATTATCATGGCTTTGGAGCAGGAGGTTTGAAGAAACCAATCTTCCGGCAGTACCGGACAACAAAGGGCACAGAAACCACAGTGATGCTGATTCGTAGCGGGGCAAACAGCTTGTGAACGGCGTATGCCAACACAAACGTGCTTGTACCAGCAGCCATCTTAGACTGCAGGGATGATTCACTGAAGCCAAGTTTGATGAGAACTGGAGTCATATCCACACCGCTGGGGAAAAAGAAAACAAGACTTGTCAGTTTATTTTAAAATGGCACACTAAAGAATAGGAGGTGCTATTTACTCAGGGAATTTAACATGGCATAACTTCCAACTCTGGAATTTCTATTAAGTTTTGATAAATAATAAATGAGTTCTTCCAGGACTAACAGCACGATTTACTTCTGTGACAACAGCACATGCTTATTTTCAGATACAAATTTCGGTTTTGATTGACAAGATCCCTACAAAGTCAAATATCTTCTTAGTTTATTGGTCACACAACTGCAGCACAGAGAATGCTCAGCCCCGTGCACCACCTTCCTGGAGGAAATCATCAGTTCCTCCTCACAAAACAGAGGCATCTAAAGCTGCTGCCCTTCCCCCTGAAATCATATACACAATATCCTACACCTCTTCTGTAAGGTTAAAGCAGAAAATACTGGATAGTCTAATCCTCTTTTTTTTTTTTTTGCTGGTGCCTTCTGCAGTTTAAGCTGTGTTCAGCTCCCAGAAAAACAGATTTATCTCTAAGCTCCAGCACTTTCATACGGCTCTATCTCTACATGCCACACTCCTGTTTGAGAACAAAAGATACCTCTGCAGAAAAGTAAATTCTTTCGTCTGGTTTTGTCAGTCACTTTGGTGCAGTCTCTGCTCTGTTTTCATCAGCCCACCATATCTATCTTCACTCATGCCTGACTGGAGATTAGACCAACTTACAGATCCATTTATACACAAAAAGCAGAGGTTTCCTGTATATAAATCCAACAAGCTTAGAGAATACCTCCTTAGAAACGAGCACAATGGTCAGATATTTCCCTTGTCTAAACCATTACAGTCTGCAGACACTGTACAAAGCACACCTTGACACAGCCACGTAGAAGATCCCTAGAGATATTAACGAAATTCCAACATGGAACGAAACTCCTACAGCACCATACTGTTTGAAAACTTGTTTCAGCTGCTGAGATTTGTTGAGTTTCTTGTTCTCACCACTGAGATCTGTGGCTGTCTTTTCAGGGGATCCCGCATCCTAAAAAGAAAAGCCAACAAAACAAAACACAATAGTATTAATTAGAATTAAGTACCATATAATATTCCAATCAGATTTGAAAGAATGAAACAATTAGCATGTGTAGTGATGCTTGGAAAGCTTTGGGAAAGAGCAACACTGTTCTGCTTTTTTACATTGGGATTGCTGAGGCCCATAACAAAGCTCATAAAAGCTCTCATTTTCCAGCTATTCACATTAAACAGATGTGCTGATCTTGGTGCATATTCTTACACAACCTAAGTTTCATCATAAAAAAAGGAGTTGCTATGGTTCCAGCACTCTATCTGATACAAAAGAATGCCAAAGCTCACCCACATAGTTTTGGGGAGATGAGGTTGAGGTGCCAAAGAGATTTCCGTCCATATCCACTGCTTTTGGTTCATCCCTGCGCTTGGCAGGATTGTCACCAGGGTACAAAACACACAGTGCAATCTTACAGTGCTCACGGTGAGACAAACCCACTTCAACCAGCGATTTTAATCACTCCTTCCCGTTACCCAAAGCAAACAAATGATGTTTGCCTTGCCCCCCTCATTGGAATTTACATTACTTTTTATCTCATCTCGAGAAAAGTCACACAGATCCATAAACACGTATTAAGGAACTATGGAGCACAACCTTATTTATTCTAACATAAGGAATAATATCATTATTCTTTTGTTAGGCTTTGGCTCATGAACCAAAGCAATGTTTGAACAGAAACTGAAAGTTAAAAAACGTCCAGCAGGAAAAAAACAGAAACACCTCCAAGCCCTTCACTGCTTAAACCAGATTTAATGCTAAAAAGGAAGCGAGGAAACAATTTTCATTCTATATATGTATATTAAAGCAAGCTCTTTAAGCAAAAGCCAGCATTCACAATTAGACAATCCAATTATTTCCAGCCCTGATACAGCAATACTTCTAAAGTCGTTCCCACTCTTCAGTTTCATTACAGGAAAGGATGCGAGGAACAGCGCTGTTTGCACACCGCAACCCGGCGCTCCGCGCTCACGTGCCGGCGATTCCCGGCTGCCGCGGAAGCCCGAAGCTCAGCGCTGTGCCGAACGGAGCGGCACCGACCGGCAGCCGGCCGTCCCGGACAGCACGCACAGCCAGCGCCGAGCCCCGCCGCCCCGAGCCGAGCCCCGCTCCGCGCAGCGCCCCAGGGCGGGCGGCTCCTCCGGCTGCGAGCCCAGCCCCCTACCTTAGCGGGGATGCCGGTGGCGGCGCGCAGCGCTACGCGGCACGGCGGCGCTGGCGAGAGAAGAGGGCGACCGAAGCGCTGCTCGCTGCCCGGAGGACGGAAAGCGGCGGCGGGCAGAGACCTGCGGGGCAGCAGCGGCGGCCGCAGCGGGCCCGGCCGCAGCAGGCGGAACATCGCGGCACAGCCGGGCGGGCGGGAGGGCGCACGAACCTGACAGAGCGAACAACCCGGCCTCCGACAGCGGGCGCCCTCCTCCTTAAAGGGACAGCAGCCCAGCTAGGGCGCCTTCGCAGTGAGGGGGGAGGGCGCCCCCCGCTGGGCGGTGTAGGGCACTGCACTCACTGCGCTCACCGCTGAGATGCAGGGGCGGCCTGGGTTGAAGGAGAAAAATGTCTCTGCGGGTGCTGCGTCCACACCTGGGATGTCATGAGGGAGAGCCCTGCCTCAGGTGGCTGCAGTTCCCCCCCAGGATAATGGTTGTGATGATTATACGTGCGTACACACATTCATGTAGGTTGCTCCAAAAATAATGACTCCTATTTATTTCCATGGAGACTATGGCAGGTACAAAGAGCACAATAACACCATTTGATAAAGCAAATTCTCGGCCACAAAACACTATTTTTTCAACACAGTCACCGTCATTAGCTGTGCATTTTCACCAGCAGTGAACAGGAGCCTGCATGCTGTGCTCCTGCAGAGGTGACCACTGTCTGTATTAGCACTGCTGTAACACCACCACTGCCTCATTGTGCTCACACCCACTGCTTGGTTTCCTTAAGAGTTCTGCAAGAGTTGATTAATATCAGTTGGTACTATTTTTTCCTCATGGAGGAATTCAATTCCATGCCTTTGCTTTGTATGCACTTCCATGTCAGACACCAATCTGTCAATCTGCCCATCTGCTGCCAGCTGCCACATGGCAACAAAATGTAACAGGATATTGGCAGGAAGGTTCTACTGCCACACCATCAACATCTGTCTTTGACATTGTGAGCAAACATCAAAAAATGTAAGGCATTACTTTTGGAGCAGCACTTGTATACATATTTACAAAATAAGGCATGCACAAAGTAGTCGCTCATAGCACCAACTGCAGGGCAGTACCACAAGCTGGAACACTGAAATGTCCTTGGCTTTGTGCAGCACTGCTCAGCAACAGCTAGAACATGGATGTGTTATCAGTGCTGCTTTTCTCCTAAAGCCAAAACAAAGCATCATTCCATGCACTGTGAAGGAGATCACCTCAGTCCCATCTGAAACCAGCACACCAGGCTGTACGCTGAGGTAATTTCTCTCATTCCTCACAGTGCTGCCATGCTCCCAAGGTCTGTGCATGTATCCAGGCATGGATGTGGTTAAAGCCTTGCTTTTGCAGTTCTGATGTATGGGCTTGCAGTGCCCATCACTTAATTAATCACTCACTTTATGCTAATGAGTCCCAGCCATTTGCCAAGTCTCATCATGCGGGGCAGAGTGTAACTGCAGAGCTCTTCCAACCTCAGAGGGTTCACAGCAGCTCTGAGACCTCCTGAGGCCTTCCAGCAAATGCTGAAGTCTCATGCATAGCCTCATTTCTGCATCATTAATCTAACAGGAAAAATAAGAATTAAAAGTACCATCAAAGTAGAGAGGAGAGTGCCAGGGAGAACTGTAGTTGGTGGGGAGCGATGTTCCTGGCAGCGACCCCACTGTCCTCTATTTTAACCAGAAGGGCCTTGGTTAACAGGAAAGGTCCTTGCTCATCTTCATCACACACCGTGGTGATTTCTGGACCTTCTGAGGTTTTTCAGCCATGTAACGTCAGTGCTAACAGAGGTGGTTTCGTGCCTGCAGGTTGGCATTAGCCTGCACAGAGCCAGGGCTTTTCACAACCACACAGCAGCGATGCGAAATGGCGGCTGCGTGCACTGCACACTGCCAGGGGACAGCAGGTGTTGTGTGAGCCTATCACTGCACAGACGGCACGTCTGGATGCTGAGCTCCGGCAATAAAGTGCGTTTCTTTTCCTGCTCACTGAGCCTCTCTTCTCCAGGCAGGCTGTTACAGTGGCGTAAGCATACAGGGCAGTACAATAGGAGAACTGTGAGACATAAATAGGAGGTTTTCCCTCCGGAAGAGAGTGCAGTGGGGAGCACAAGCTGAAAGTGGAGAGGACAGCACTGAGCGGTACAACGCTGAGACAGCATGGTGGGAGGCTTTGTTAAGTAGGATGCACCGCGGAACAGATGGGTTTCGAGGAGAGTCTTTCAGGAAGAGAGAGAGCTTTGCATGCATTAAAACAGAGTCTGTCCGGAGCATAACAAAGAGCGCTGCCAGTTCTGGGGATTTGTGTTTTCCTTAGTTCTTTCTTCATAGATTCAATTTCAACCTGAATGCTTTGCAGGGGAGTAGTTTCTCCCAGTGCAATTTTGTTTATTTAGTATGTTGTTCTGTTACTGTTCCAAAGCAGTTTGTTTGCTACTGTGTTTTCTGTGACTATTTATACCCTCTCACCATGATCCCAGCAGACAGATGACACCAGCACAGCAGTGCTGTCATCACAGCGCATCAGTTTTGAACTTTTTCCCCCTAATTATAATAAATCCTGAGTAATCTCACCCAGTAAAGGAGATGCCATTCAAGTTCCTGCAGTATGGACTACCCCTGGGGTTAGTAACTCTCAGCTCCTTTCAAGAGAGACCTAATAACTGCTGAGTAACTTGGAGTCATAGCTGCAAGTTTTTCACATGAAGAAGGTTCTGAGAGCCATATTTCTACCTGAGATTTTCCTGTAAGAAATACGTAGGCAGTTGCTACAAAAGGTGTTATAGTCCAACACGTTCTGAATTGCTGGTGCATGCAACGTGGAGGTGGTCTGCCCACAGCAGGAAGGTGCAACTAGATGGTCCTTCAGCTCTCTTCCAATCCAAGGCATATTGCATGGGAACTGTTGATCACGGCCTGAACCTCTGATTGACCACCTGAGGTAAGCAACGAGTCAGCTGCAGCTGCACAGGTGAAGGCAATTCTCCTTTGCTACCAGAAGGGTTGGAGCCTGGCTGCACCTCTCCTAGATCCCATTTAAGAGCTGACTACCACTGAGATTACTCCTTGTGGTGTTTATTGTGAGCCTACAATGTTGGTGAGCGTTTTTTGTTTATTATCTTTCCACCACAATAATCCTCCTCAGCCTAACCTTGGTTCACCTATTGTTTGTACTTATAAGCACAGATGCTGCCCTCTGTCTGGCAGACTCATTGGAGCCATTGCATGAGTAGAGCATGGAGTTACTGTCCTGCAGTGTCTGTGTCATGCTGCTGCTAGGTGTCTAGAAACCCAGGGCAAGTGGAGAAAAGAGCAATAGGTTGGTTAATGAGGAATAAAAGCAGATGAGTTAGCAGCTTTATGTGCACTGTCTCCAAAATCTTAGTGAGAGACTTTCTTAGAAGCAGGAACCAACAACACCAGAAACATCAAACCCTACGTGTTCCTTGAAAAACAAGCAAACAAACACTCCAGCTTATGATATTTTAATATAAATGGAGTCTATGAGCACAGAGAAGCTAAGAAAAAGAGAAACTGAACTTTCAATGGCAGCTCATGAACATGAATATACTTCAGCACAGGCGCATGTCTTGCACCATCCTGGAGGTGCAGGTCCCTTTGAGGTACTAACAGGAACACACAGCAGTGAGAAGTAAGGCCACAGAGTGCCAAGATGTGAACCCCAAATCGAGATAGCTTAGGGGTCTGCCACTGAAAACTAGACTTGATTTGACAGCTTAATTGATCTACTGTATTTGTGACATGCCTCAACTTGTGACACGCTTCTTCTCTCAGCTTTTTGCTTTGTAGATTTACTATGACATTCCTTTTGTAATGATTTGATGAGCAGGTGCACTGGCTTTGTGTTATTCACATTATTATTTCATCATCATTGTTTGTCATGAGGAGAAGTGAAGCTATGAACTAAAACACGAGTTTTCCACTCACCAGAAGTTACATTTCAATGTCAGTGAGCCTTTATTTTTCCATTATGTAATTCTCACATGATTTGTTTCAGAATTGGTTGTCATGCTTTTATCAGAAAATGTATAATGAAGTAATGTAGGAATGTCCTGTATCAGGATATCTATTTAAGAACCTTCATACTTTCCCTCCCACAATTTAACTTTTTGAAGCAAAAATCCTTCTTGGTGTTTTTATGGTGCTGTAGAAAGAAGCAGTGGCAGAATTGAAGTATTCTGTGGTATGCAATTTCTGTAACTAGAAATTCATGCTAAAAAAGAATCTATGCTGAATATCCATTGCTCAACCTTTGGTTTTCCAACAGTATAAGGTAAACAGTGCCACGGGCACTTAAGGGAGCTTGTTCAGGAGTTCAGCTCAGTTGTAAGGGTAAACGTGATTAGTAGTTGAGTAGCAGATAACCTTTGATGATGGATCAGTCAAATGGTGATGAAGAAACCTTAGAAGTCTTCCAAGTTTTATATATGGTTTGGAGGCAAATTTATTATATGTCTTTCAGATCTTTTTATCTATTTGTAATTCAGGGATTTTGAATGTGGTAGTTCCGAAGTATAATGGCTTCTAATGGGCAAGTAGGAATTGGTTCCTGTGTGAGTGGGAGACAGCTGCTAATGCATGATGGAAGCTTATAATTTAGTATTATTATAGATGTAGTAATGCCATGGGTCATAAATATAATGAGACAAGTTGGGAACTGAGCACGAACCTCATTCAGAAAAGAGGCTAAAGCAAATTTTGTTCCATTTCAGTAAACGAAGGGCACGGCATGTGAAGTTGAGTTTTAAGAGGCTCAGTTCTTTAATGCACTGGCATTTTCACATCATCTTAGATTATGAAAATGAGATAATATAGGTAGATGATAAGATAAGCATGAGTTTAAGTAATATCAGTCAAGATTTTGTTTCATCAAGGCTAAAATGTGTGTATGTGAAATATGCACAATGGATATTATTTGAGAAATCTGAAAACAGTTTATGGAGACATTTAGTATGAAATTTCTCATGCCACGAATACTACAGGCCACCATCTTTCAAAAGCAAAATCATTAAAACTGAAGACAGTAGTCTTCTATTCTAATGGGAGAACACTGTACTGCTGGGGCAGCTACAGCAAAGGATGCCAGCCCAGGGAGGTTTACCTGTGAGGCAGGAAAGTGGGGTGATGTGGGGTGAGAACATCTCCAAACAGGCAAGCAAAGAAGGAA